ATTTTAGCGACATTATTCACCGGAATCGTTTCAAATTTGGTATTTGAAGTTCGTAATGGATACTACATCCTAAATCAAAAAATGAGCCATGTAGGTCCACGTCTTCATATAGCCCCCATATTACGGTACCCCCCGATATTCGGTATTTTGATGACTTTAGCGACATTGTTTACCGGAATCGTTTCAAATTTGGTATTTGAAGTTCGTAATGGATACTTCATCCAAAGTCAAAAAATGAGCCATGTAGGTTCACGTCTTCATATAGCCCCCATATAACGGTACCCCCCGATATTCGGTATTTTGATGATTTTAGCGACATTATTCACCGGAATTATTTCAAATTTCGCATGTGAAGTTCGTAATGGATACTTCAGCCCATGCCAGAAAATTGTCTGTGCAGGTCCACGTCTTCGTATAGCCCCCATATAACGGTACCCCCCATATTCGGTATTTTGACGATTTTAGCTACATTATAAACAGATTTTTCTTCAAGTTTCGCATTTAAATATTGTAATAATTTATGACAAAAGTTGCCTATGCAGGCCCACGTCGTCGTATAAGCATTCGGTATTTTTAAGATTTTAACAGAATTTTTAACGGGTTTTATTTTTTGGAAATTGGCAAATTTGTACCAAATGGTGGAGGGTATTAAAAGTTCGGCCCGGCCGAACTTACAGCATTTTTACTTGTTAAATATGGGTTAGTACACCGTCAAATCCAGGGGAAAATGAGGAGCGTAATGTCTTTAAACCCTTTAAGACTTCGTCTTCGGTTAAGATAATGCAGGGAAATTGATTTAATGTAGTGGTATGAATTTCGGAAGGGTCTATAGATATGCCTGGGTATAGGAAGACTGAAAAAAGTCAGCAAATAAATTTGCAATTTCCAAGTTGGCTGAAGACTCTTTACTACCAAGTTTCATGCTGGAGGAAAATTTCTGAGCTCTTCTTTTGGAGTTTACAAATTTAAAGAAATTCTTAGGATTGTTTAATAAATTCTGCCGCATTTGGGCTAAATGCTGAGAATAACATTTGGAGTTTTCCGAATTATATCTATTCTTTCCATGGAAAATTTTGAATAATTTACGGCAGTGTTAGATTTTTTGAAATTTTTTAAAAGTCTATTTTTATTATTGCGTAGACGTCTTAGTGTAGGTGTAAACCAAGCAGGGCCTTGGTCAGCTAATGGTTTTGCCATTGGTACGGAGCTAGCTAGAGCTAAATTGAGCTGTTCATAAAATTTAGAAACACGTGAATCAATGTCGCCATTGATGCACCACATAGAACCTGATAAGAGAGAGCGTAGTAGCGGTATATTGGCCTTCGCAAAATTTTGCCTACTAGATAAAGTTTTAATAACATTAATATTGGACAGAGTGTTCCTTAATTCAAGGTTTAAAAGGAGCGTTGGATGATATGTATCCTCAGGAATTACAAATGGAGGACTTCTACAAAGCGAAATATTTAGGGAAGATGAGAAAATTAAATCTAATATTTAGGGAAGATGAGAAAATTAAATCTATAAAATTTACTTGGTATAAACAAACTTCATAAATGTTATCCCAAAAAGCGTCGAGTACAACTAGGTAAGTGGAGGGTACATAATCTAGTTATTATCGCCCAAGACCCAAGAAACACTAGGAAGATTAAAATCACATGCAAATCAAAGTAGAGTTATCTGTAAGCAAAGAGGACACTTTTTCAATAAAATCAGGGTGATTTAAGTAAATTTCAGCCCCTGAATTGGGTGTAATATATGAGCAAGTTATATATATTGTATTACAAAAGAATGTTAATTTTGCACAAACGAATTTATTACTTGGGTCGACAAAAATATCTACAGCTTCCGAAGGAATCGAGTGGTGGACTGCTATCAGAACCCCACCACCTTTTTTTACTATTCTATACTATACTATAGTATACTATACTATACTATAATATACTATACTATACTATACTATACTATAGTATACTATACTATACTATGCTATACTATACTATACAATTTTATCGATTTATCGACGTTCGCCCAGGTGCTCAAGATACAACCACATTATTTAAAATAGTGTGGCTTCTACGATTTTTATACCCTCAGCCATATGGTTACAGATGGTATTTATAATTTGATACGACCAAAATATCCCTCATCGAAATAACGGTGTTCGACCCTAGGTCTCTTTGGACCAAATCCATTCCAGGACATTTGTCTGTCTGGCTGGTTGGTGCGCATGTACTACGTTTATCGCACGAACATGGTACATCGTAATATAATTATAAAACTTAGATCGAGTTCAGAGATGGGCAAAAGCGGTCCACTACTTCCCCCACAAAAGGTCAAAATTTTCAAAGAAAATAATTTGCCTAATAAAACCAGGAAGGATCATCCATTTTTTTTCAAACTCTGCAAATCTCAATATTCGTTTCAGTGCTAAGTCAGGTGCGAAAATGGACAGTATCGGCATATTAAATAAGATACCTCCTCACAAAGGGTGAACATTTTGAATAATTATAGCTTTTATAAACTGTGAAATAAGGGTTCGACTGTCTTCAAGTTTTGCTCATCTCAATATTTTACCATCACAATATCTGGTATGAAGATGAAATATATGGGACTACTCCTTCTTGTTAAAATTTTGACTAACAATTATAACTCTCATAAAATGCCAAATAAGTATCCGATTGTCTCTAAATTTGGCACATCTTATACCAAGGTACATCCCGCAAACGGTCACGATTTTCAATATTAATATCTCTTATCAAAACTCCACCACTTTTTCTAAACATGGTATATCTAAATAACTCTATCGTCCAGAGATCTGATGTTAATACAGAATCTACCGACCAAGCCCTTCTCGTATCTCCCCCACTAAAGGTTATAATTTTGATTACAATCATTCGCAAAAAATTGGAAATAAATGCTCAATTTTCTCTAAATTTTGCACATACCAATATTTTTATCAGTATTAGATGAAGTATAATACTACGGTCCTATGTATGGTACCTCAAACATATTTCAACATTTAGTAAAAATATATGTATCAGACGATATATTCCAAATCTGACATTTATATATGTCAGACTTTCAGACAATATCAGACTTTGGTCAGATACGAAATGGACAATATTGTCCACAATATGGACAACCATAATTCAAAGCTGAGGGTATACAACTGTCGCAATACCAACTGCTACTTTTTAACTTGTTGGAATTTAAAATAGTCTATATGTAGGCTAAGTATAGTTTCCCATACAACCATGTTTTTAGCGAAATTAGCCAGTAGTGGTTGGAAGATGCATAATCCCACCAAGTAAGTTGTGAATTGGCGTTTTTAGTTCTTAGAGGACACTACAGGGTGAGAAAAAAAACTGCAACAAAGTCATAATTTTTACATTTATTTTTAAATTTTATTGAATGAAAAAAGCCAGAAATAGCATCAAATTTTAGAATAAGTTAAAATTTATTCGAATTGGTCATCTTTGGCACGAATTATGGCCTTCAAAATGGTGCTCTGCGGTATTTTGGCTCATTCCCGGCGAAGCGCTTGCCTGAGGTGATCGACACTTTGGTACTTTTAAGTGCCAACCTTGCTCTCCAAAATACTCCGGACACAATAACCCAACGGATTGGTATCCGGAGATTTTGGTGGCCATTTTGCGCTGGAAATGAAGCGAGAAACCTCATTTTGTAACCATTCTTGGGTGGCGCGTGCTGAGTGTAATGGTGCTGAGTCCTGTTGGAATGTCTAAGGTCTGCCACTGTCGATTAATACGAGGGAAGAGCGACCATCGGCTGTTATGGCGGCCAACACCATCACCATGGCCGGCGCTTGAGTTCTGGTGGTCAACCGAAGGTGCACATTTTCAGCTGATCTCTTTGACAAGTAAACACGATCATTTTGTTTGTTTACAAACACCTGGACAACGAATGTTTTCTCATCGGAGTAAACCATATTCGGCAGTTCAACACTTTCGGTCAAGCGAAGCATCTCTTTAGCTCTTGAGTCTATTTTCATTCTGTTGCGGTGTAAGTTCTTGCACTTTTAAGAATTTCAATGGCTTTACCCCGAGCTCATTTTTTATTATTTGCCGATTGCAAAATTGCGATATATTCAGCTCACGAGCCATTTTTCGGCCACTGCGACGGGGGTTTCGATCAAGTCGCTTTTTTACTTTTCGAACCATTTCTGCTGATGTTGCTGTTTTCTTCCGTCCACTTTCTTGACGTCGGGCTACACTACCAGTACCACGGTAACGAGCGATGGTAAGAGACACAAAAGATTTATTCACATTTAAATGCTGGAGTGCTATAACAACAGCCACTTGTGGTTTTCCAGACACATGTAAAGAAATCACATATTCACGCTTGAATTCCATCACGAATAACTTTTTTTCTGGAAAATTCTCACCAAAATGCTTTTGTACGCTTGTAAACAATATAAAGAGCTATCAATGGAATAATTTTAACAGCTGTCGGACGAGTGTCTTAGAAAGGACAGCAGTCTGAAATTGGTTGCAGTTTTTTCATCTCATCCTGTAATAGCTGTAGCCATCATTTTCCGGTACATCCTGACATCTGACGTTTTGAGAATTGCAGCCGCAATAGGCAGCGCCTCGACAATTTGGGTATGTTAATGACCTAACCTTTGACAAATGTTTTAAACCAGGGCACTGGCAGATTTTATGTATTTTTAAGCCGAAGTGTATCTAATTTGAAATTTTAAAGTATAGAAACCATATTCTCCCAAAATGCTGAATGTAGGTCGATGTTTTGTAATAGCACCACTGAGCCAGTTTGAATACATTTTCAACTTTCAGTTTCAGTTTTGTAAGAGTATTGGCAAATTACTTTACAAATTTTAGGTATTTTTAGCCAACTGTGTTTACGATAATTTATGTTTGCTCCGGCCGAAATGTTTTTACTACTTTTATAATTATTTTGAGCGTTCGTGATAAACTGTAGCAATAACTAAAGACATTATCTTTTGATTGCTACCGTTGCAGCCGAATCGATTAATATCACCAGCAACATTGCTATGCAAACGTCGGGGCAATAGCTTTGAAATGGCTACCTTGCTATGCAGTATGCTTATCGGAGCTGGTTTCAACGCTTTGGTCGTTTCGGGAATAGCGCGGACGGATGTCGTTGAAAATGATCAACGTCGTGTACCATTTCCCGGCGACATTTACAAATTTGAGAACGACGAACATGTGCAAGACAAACCTTTGAGCGAAACCCAATTTTGTCTTGGTGGAATGCCTGATTTACAGAGTCATCTGGAAACGAATATAGCTGAAATTGTCAAAGAGAAGGAGAATGAAAAACAACGCCAGGAAGCATTAAAGCGTGAAGAGGAGGTACGTATGTGTGTAAATGCTGCTGCCAAAAATATAATAGCCCCAACCCTCTAAAATGTTTTGAAGTTCAGTCAATATTTCACTATAAATTAAGAAAAAAAAAAAATAAGTCATAAAAACATAGGTCCTTTCGCACGCTTATACGATTTTTTTCGAAACACTGAGAAAAATCGGGGAAAGGTAAAAGGGTGGTACTATTGCCCTTCGGATCTAACTATTGATCTATAAAAATAATTAACTTTACTGCCTGCAAGTGATTGAGTGCCATTGAGACGGTAACAATGTAATATCAGCTTGGTGGAGAATCAACCTAATTTTTGATTTTTTTCAAAGGGGAGCAGAACCCTATAATTTCTATAGAAATTTGGAAGGATATCCGGATTTCAAACAGTAACTGCATCTTTTACATATGGACTTGGGATTTTCAATCAACATTGCGGCTTTGGAGCTGCATAATGACATTAATAATAAAAACATAAAGAAATAATTTGAACACAACAATGCGTACATACAAATAATTACAGGAGAAAACACCGATTATGAAAGAGGAATTAAGCAAGTCAAAAAGAATCAGTCGGTGTTGTCGACAGTTGCATATCCCTAGCCAATAATTCGACTTCCGTTATGATTATTCAAATTTTTGACTCTTCAAAGTAGGGTCAATTTCTCATGTTACAAAACAATAATTTCTTTTCGACTTAGTTTCTCATGTTACAAAAATATACCACTTGTCTTGAGTAATTCGTGGCAAAATTAAGAAGGTAACGTGATTTCAAATAAGCATATCCACCTCTGCATTTTCTGCAATTTACTTTGTAAAATTTCACTGCAAAGAAAACAGGTTTCAATCTCTGATGTGTGTGCATATAAAGGATTTGTAAATATTAATTTTGGCGATGAGATGTTGTTGGAATTCATTTTTAAATTATTATAAAATAATGGTTGAGTTCCAAAACAAAGGAATTAAAGTGGTCACCTCATTTACCAAATGGGTAATGGCATTGTTTTGTATTGGAATATAATCTATAATTTTCTAATTATTTAAAAATTAGTCCGAATTTATTGTAGGCAAGTTTACTTGTGACAAGTCTCCGCTGGTAGGATAGGGGTACTGGCAATTTCTTTATTGTATTTTTGTTTTTACGCAAAAATAGGAACAAATATGATAGAAAAGGTAAAGACAAAAAAAAAATAAATAAATAAGGAAAAGTCAAAAGTCGGGGCCGACTATGTGATACCCTACACCACTATGCATATTTAGTAGAGCTCTTGTAGAGTAGACCACCTATCAACATTTGGCTTCAGATCAGTTATGGTTTGCACACACACCATATATATATATATATATAGTTCCACAAAATGGAGACTTTCGTCCCGAAATTCACCACATTTAGGCCATTATTTGCGCAATAAGCATGAAATCGTATCAACAGTTTTTGGGAGACACATCCAAATCTTAGCCGATCTCGATAAAAATTTAGCAAAGATATTTCCGAGCTTTATAAGATATATGGAACCAAATGTTGTCGAATGTATATTACGAATGGGAGGGACTTTAACCCCAAATCGGAAGAAACATATATATAGGAGTTATAGCTTTATCTGAACCGATTTTCGAAATTTGATGAACTTGCTTCTAAAAGGAATTCCGTTGGATGTGCCAAAATTCAGGTCATTTGCTCTTATATTGGCTATTTGATGCTCAATTAACGCGAAATTGGTTGAATATATGTGGAAGCTTCTTTATCTAAATTTTATCCGATTATTACCAATTTCTATAGGGTACGTCCTTGGTCCAAACAAATATTGTTTGGAATGTTTCATATCAATCGGATAATAAATGCGATCTGCATTTTGTTCACAAGCATATATGGACCGACGGACGGACGGACTGACATGCATAAATTGACTCAGAAAGTGATTCTATGAAGATTCTCTAAAGTAACCATGGGTCTATCTCGCTTCCTTCTCCTTGTAACATGGACAAATGCACAAAGACATAATACCCTTACCCTTATGTGGTGTAGGGTATAAAAAGAGAACGAGAAAAATTGTCGGAAGTAAGTTTGCCATCCATAGTAATAACATAGTAATAATTATTCCATAGCTGTTTGCTAAAGACGAGTTGCATATTTTCTGAAAATTATGAGGTACCGTATAATGTCTTCATGAAAAGAAAAATATCAAAATTGGACCACTATGGCTATGCGACTTGTGACACCAAAACAAAATCTCTCTAAAACTAATATGCTGAATCAACCCAAAACAAATGTATGGACTACAAAAAAACGCCAAGTATAGATAATTTTCACTCTTTTAAGCATTTCTGAATAGTATTTTGGGGTCAAACTCCATATGAAGAGAAACCAACAATTGCCCCAAAACATAACAAGCAAAAAAGCTATAAGTTTGGCCGGATAATAAATGCGATCTGCATTTTGTTCACAAGCATATATGGACCGACGGACGGACGGACTGACATGAATAAATTGACTCAGAAAGTGATTCTATAAAGATTCTCTAAAGTAACCATGGGTCTATCTCGCTTCCTTCTCCATGTTACAAACAAATGCACAAAGACATAATACCCTTACCCTTATGTGGTGTAGGGTATAAAAAGAGAACGAGAAAAATTGTCGGAAGTAAGTTTGCCATCCATAGTAATAACATAGTAATAATTATTCCATAGCTGTTTGCTAAAGACGAGTGGCATATTTTCTGAAAATTATGAGGTACCGTATAATGTCTTCATGAAAAGAAAAATATCAAAATTGGACCACTATGGCTATGCGACTTGTGACACCAAAACAAAATCTCTCTAAAACTAATATGCTGAATCAACCCAAAACAAATGTATGGACTACAAAAAAACGCCAAGTATAGATAATTTTCACTCTTTTAAGCATTTCTGAATAGTATTTTGGGGTCAAACTCCATATGAAGAGAAACCAACAATTGCCCCAAAACATAACAAGCAAAAAAGCTATAAGTTTGGTCGGGCCGAACTTTGAATACCCTCCACCATATGGAACGAATTTGGCAATTCTCAAAAACAACAAAATCCGTTAAAAATTCTTCTAAATTCTTAAAAATACCGAATGCAGCTGTTGTATTAGGGACTAAACGATGATAAGTCATTACAACATTCAAATGCGAAACTTAAAAAATCGGTGAATAATGTAGTTAAAATAATCAAAATACCGGGCCAAACTTTTAATACCCTCCACCTTAGGGTAAAGGAAACATTAGAAGAAATGTGGCAAAAACCATTAAAATGCCGAATATCGGGAGGTACCGTTATATGGGGGCTATACCAAATCGTAGACCTACACATGCAATGTTTGGCCAAAGGAGCTAGAACCCATTATGACCTACAAATACCAATTTTCAGGCAAATCCGTGAAGAAATGTGGCAAAAATCATCAAATTACCGAATATCGGGAGGTACCGTTATATGGGGGCTATACCAAAACGTGGACCTATAATTACAATGACTCGCCACACGAACTGGGACCCATTATGATCTACAACTACCAATTTTCAGAGAAATTCTTGAACAAATGTGTCAAAAATCATCAAAATACCGAATATTGGGAGGTACCGTTATATGGGGACTATATCAAAACGTGGGCCTATACATACAATGTTTCGCCACACTGACTAGGACCCATTATGACCCACAAATACCAATTTTTAGACAAATCAGTGAAAAAATGTGGCAAAAACCATCAAAATACCGAATATCGGGAGTAATCGGGCTATACCAAATCATGAACCCATACATACAATGTTTCGCCACCGAAGCTGGAACCCATTATGACAAAAAATACCAATTTTTAGACAAATCCGTGAAAAATTGTGGGAAAAAATTAAAATACCGAATATCGGAAGGTACCGTTATATGGGGGCTATATATCTCATTTTCAATACCAACCATCCTAGACAAACACAAATTGCTCTGCTAAATTTTGGCGCTCTACGTCAAATAATGTGGGCTGTATCGTGATTTCAACAGACGGACAGACAGACGGACATCGTTAAATCGACTTAGAATTTTATGCTGATTATGAATATATATACTCTATGGGGTCTACGACGAATATTTAAGGATGTTACAAACGGAATGACAAAGTTAATATACCCTCCTTTCCAAGGTGAAGGGTAAAAAAAATATATAGGAGCCGAGTTCCACAAAATGGAAACGTACGTTCCGAAATTCACCCCATTTTGGCAGATATTAGACATTATTTGCACAATAAACCTGAAATAGGATTAAGGATATATATGAGAGCTATATCCAAATCGTAGTCGTTCTCGATGAAATTTGGCAAAAGTGTTTCTGAGATATGAGATAAGATATCTTGTACCAAATATCATTGTTGACGAATGCATATTACGAATATGAGGGACTTAAACACCAAATCGGGACTTAAACACCATATATATGGCAGCTATACCAATATCTGAACCGATTTTCTCCAAACTTGAAGCACATGCTTGTAGGCTGAATTCGGTCGGATGTAGCAAAATTCACGCCATTTGGACTGATATTAGCCATTTGGTACATTTGGTGAACTCTGGGTCTATCTCGTTTCCTTCTCCATGTTACAAACAAATGCACAGAGACATAATACCCTTACCACTATGTGTGTAGGGTATAAAAATCATTAAGTATCGTTATAGGATACGCTCTAAAACAATTAATTGATCAGTCCTTATTAAATAAATGACGTATTTTAGTAATAGGTGTCGGCGTGAATTTGCCTTAAATTTAACATAAAGTATATATTCTTGTAGGAACTGAAACAACGTGACGCAGACAGATTTCTCTACCGTAAACCACATGCATGGGTGGCCCTGTTTAGGAGTGGGGCAAAGGATCAATCGATTGAACAGAATGATGTCGAAGATGGTACGGACCGTACTATTGAGGTGGACTTTGTTGAGCCCTCTACTGGCTTCTTTCTAAGTAGCAGTTGCATGGATTACACACTGATTAATAGTGCATGGAATCAGAAGCAATACTATGTGAACAAACAGGTATACGTTCGAGTGGGAGAAATACGTTGGAACTTACAAAATACGGACGATTGGGAGCACCTTCTTCCGGGAGAAAATGAAGCGGGAACATCAATCGACAATGCATCGGAAATTATGAATGAAAAATATTTGAACACCATTCCATCGTGGGTATCCAAGCTACATCTCAACGAAAAAGAATACGAGGAACGATTTCCAAATCTCCAGAAAACAGTGTTCTACAAAAGGGTGAAACATCTGAGGTTCTCGCCATACTTCAACAAAGATGGGAAGATGATGCAATTGACTCTCTTTGCAGATGATGAATACACCGTTCCGATTTTCGATTGCATTCATTTTGAAAATCGTGCGGATATGCTGCTGCGGATTGAAAAGAATTATAAAATGTTAAGTATAAAGGAAATCTTTGGGAAGAGCCGTAAAGATAATTTATTAAGTAAGTATGAATTCATTGCTCCTTTGACATTCACTCCAAAACTGAATAGGGATATAGAATAAACGAACTGTTTAAAATTGCTATATTTTGCGTTTTTCAGAGGTATAAATAAAACAATAGATAACATAAACATAAGATAAGGGAGGCTTGTTATACCTTCCAATATATAGCAGGGATTGTATCAAGTTTGTTATTTCATTTCTATCTTATCGAAAAATCACTTTGTGTTGTTGAGCGGATCAATTTAAATGACTAAGATTTTACTCGTAGCCATATTTCGACTGCAAAATTTATGAGATTAAAGATTTATGATTTGGTATAGCCCTCATATACAGCTAACGAAAACAAACGAAACGATTAACGATTACCCCTCTCACGAAGACACAAACTTTTAAAATTTTTTCAATCGAAACAAAACTACAAACATTTCAATGCCAGAAGTACACAAACAATACGAGATTGACTTAATGTACTTCGGCTGTGAGTTGTCGAGCTGTATCATTTGCGAACGAATCGCCGGGAAACGTTTGGAAACGTTTGCTGTGCGAAATGATGACTGGTACATTAAGAGTTGTTATTCTTAATATTGTTTTGTTTATACCCTCCACCATACTATTAAGGGTATATTGACTTTGCCATTCCGCTAGTAACTCCTCCTCCTCGAAATACTCATGTCAGATCCAACAAAGTATATATATTCTTGATCAGCTTAAAATTCTAAGTCGATTTAGCGATGTCTGTCTGTCTGTCCGTCTGTCTGTTGTAATCACGCTATCTTTCGAACGAATTGAGATAAAAGGGTACAATTTTGCACACATGTTCGTAAATAGGCCATGTTGGTCACGTTTTATTTTGATGATTTTAGCTACATTATTCACAGTTTATTTCAAGTTTGGAATTTGAATATGCTAATGGCTTATGACAAACAAAGTCTATGTAGGTTCACGTCGTAGAGACCCCAATATAACGGCTACATTCGGTATTTTTAAGATTTTAAAAGAATTTTTAACGGATTCTATTTTTTGAAAATTTCCAAATTTGTTCCAAATGGTGGAGGGTATTCAAAGTTCGTCCCGGCCGATTTTACTGCTTTTTAACTTGTTTTTTACTTGTTTACACTGTATGATGGTCAAACAAATGAATAAAAAGTAAAAAAGCAGCTAAGTTCGAACTTTTAAGGAAATTGAAAACTTTCAAAAAGAAAAAAAAAAATATATGAAAATTACCACTTAATTGGGGGACTATACGAAGACGTCAACCTTTTTGTCATATGCTGTAGTATCCATTACGAACTTTAAATACGAAATTTGGTTCAATTCCGGTAAATAATGTCGCTAAAATCATGAAAATACCGACTATCGGGAGGTACCGTCATAGGGGGGCTATATGAAAACGTGGACCTATATGACCCACTTACCATTAAGATCTTCCAATACGAAATTTGAAACGATTCCGGTAAATAATGTTGCTGAAATCATCAAAATACCGACTATCTGGAAGTACCATTGTATAGGGGCTATACGAAAACGTGGACCGACATGGCCCATTTACGAACTTAACCTGCCTACTGGCAAACTATACGTGAATGCAAAATTTTAGCCCTCTATCTTAATTCGATCGAAAGATAGCGTGATTACAACAGACTGACAGACGGACATCGCTAGATCGTCTTAGAATTGAACGCTGATCTAGAATATATATATACGTCAGCACTCGAACCCTTTCGGAAGCCAAAGCGCAACTTCTTAACCGTCCAAATGTTCAGCGTCGCTGACATTTTGGACAGATCATTTGTTCGGCCCAAGGATGAACGCTACAAAAATTGTAGTTAATCGGAAGCGATTTAGATGTAGCTTCCATAAATATCTTCGTGTGATTTTAACTGATGTTGGAACATTCGACTACTTTTTTAAGCCTAGAAGTATTGAAAATTTGGTTAGAACCGGTTCTTATATAACTCTATAAATCCCACATATTGTTTCATCCGATTTGATATTTAAACCCCCAGAACCGACTCAGAAGTACTTCTTCTAAATTTTATCGAGATCGGTTCAGATTGTGACATAGCTTTCATATATATCTTACCTATTTCACATAAATTGATTGTTATTTGTTACAACTTAGCTCCACTAAGTATGTGTAGAGGGTGGTGTATCATAAAGTCTTTCTTTACTGGTATTGTTTGGTATGTTTTTTTTTTGTTGGACTACAGAAACTAGGACTTTGCAACTCTGTGTGAAGGGCGTATGAAAATATTACTATAGCGAATTATTTGAAATACCTTTATCATATAGGTATACTAAATACAGTAAAATTCTCCGTACTCTTGGATACTCTTATCGACCTCTATTGGTTTTGATTTTTTTAGAAATTGTGCGGAGTATGGACCCAAATAGACCAAAGGAATTATACTTTTCGGCGAATGTTCGACGAGATTCGATGGAATATCTAAGAGTTGAAACGGGTCGGATTATTGTAAAAAGTAAAGATCGAAGGGATATGTGTTTCTACCAGGAATTCGAATTTAAGATGGGAGGAGACGAGCTAAAGGTAAGGATTATTATTGGCGGCAAAAACTAAACAATAACTTCCTGAAACCGCTTTTAACTATTGGTACTTTCTTAAAACGATGATTTTTTTTCACAGTAAGAAAGAAACATCTGTATCTTGTATCGAACATCGGCTACTATGCCCACAGCCTAGCATGTAACTAAACAAGTAAAATAGTATTAGTCGATTTTGCCAACAGATGTATATCCCCAGCCTTGAGTTATGATTATTTAAACTGTTGGCCCTTTATGGAGGAGGTTCTGAAGCAGTTGGCCTATATTGAACAATTAGTATCAGATCTAGGATTGATATAAATATTACAACGAGTCGCAAGTTATGACATATATAAGTGTTGGAAATTGTGACCCTTTGTAGGTGAGGTACCAGAAGGTGTTGGCAGATATCTCTCTAACGTTAGCAAAAATATTTGAATGTGTAAAATTTGAAGAGAGTCGGATGCTTATTTCGCTTTCTTTGAGCGCTTTGTTTTTCAAAAATCTTAAACCTTTGTGGGAGTGGTACCAGAAGGAATGGTCCGATCTCTACCATATTTATAACAGATCTTATGTTTATGGAAATATTAGAATGTGCCAAGTCTTAATGGAATCCGATGTTAATTTCGCATTTTATGAGCTTCATGAATATATTGAATTTGAAGACAATCGGACTATTACATCAAATTTTATAAGGGTTGTAATTATTCAAAATTTTGACCCTTTGTGGGGGAGGTAGTTGATGGAGTGGACCGATATGGTCCATTTTCGGAACTGACCTAGCATTGATGCAAATATTAGAATATGCAAAGTTGGAAAAAAATCGGAGTATCCTTTCTCTTTCTGTGCAGTAAATTATTTTCTTTGAAAATATTGACATTTTGTGGGGGAGTTACCAGAAGGAATGGACCGATATTGCCCATCTCCGAACTCGATCTAAGTTTGACAATAATATTACGATGTATCAAGTTTGGATCAAACCGGATACTCCCTTCGAAAGTTATCATGCGCACCAGCCAGACAGACGAACGGACGGACATCACTAGATCGACTCCAAATGTCCTGAAACGGATTTGGTCCAATGAGACCTAGGGTCTAAAACCGTTATTTCGATGAGACACGTTTTGGCCGTATTAAATGATATATACCCTCTGTGGCCATATGGTGTATGGGTAAAAAAAGCAGCAGACACGAAAATTTAAACTCATCTCATCTTTTTCTACATCATACATTTATCCTCTGAATTTATTGTGTGAATAAATTTAACAACAAATATGATTCGGATTGCGAAACGAAGATCGAGTTCGGTGACGGGTTCATTCCCTCTGGTACCTCCCACACTAAAGGTCAACGTTTTAATGAAATATAATTTAGCTCATAAAAAGAAAAAGAATTGTAAAATTTTGTTCCAACTTTGAAAGACCTAATATTTTATCAGTGCAAGATCAGATGAGAGAAGGGACGCCTTCTGGTACCTCCAAACAGAAGTCAAAATATATTTAAATAAATGGACATTGGCTGAGGGGGTACATTTGTCATCAAAACCGACTGATACAATCACAATAATATTTAAATATATTTTCCACAGACACATTTGAAGTAATTGATCAGTTATGAGGCCTATCGGATAAGATTTTGTATGTAAACGTACTTTAAGTCATTTTTTATGGTGGAGGATATACATTTTTAGCCCGGCCACACAGCAAGTCGTTTTTACATGCTAATTTTTTACAGTCGTTAAAACTCTGATATATGAAGCAGTTACATCTTCACATTATACAATTAAAGCAAGATAGGGTATGCTTGAAAATATTGTAAGAAATGTCAGGATACATTAAATAGTTAGGCTTAATCCAATTATTGTTGTTATTATAAAATCAACGTTTATTTGTTAATAGAGAAAAATGATAGGGAATACCATGGTTTTGGATAGAGGCACCAAACCTCATCAGTTTCTTTGGTTCTCCCGGGGAATATTCTCCTTTTTATTATAAACAAATTACAATCTCTGCCGAAATAGAAGAGAGAACAATGATACGAAGAAACCCCAAATTTGTTCTAAATCTTACAACCGCACTTATAAACATCTTCATATTTGTCCGCTATTATGCGTTAATGAAATCAGCATAACCACGTTAGTTTGTTAGGTCTCTTACAAAAAAAAAAAAAAACCTCTATTCGTACCTTGTGTATAAAAATAACAGTGTTGTCATTTGTTGGGATATCATAGTTATTTTGTTGCTGCAGATTAGCCAACGTTCCCCATGGAAAGCATTACCACCTTTCTTTACTAATTGATAAATGTTGTTTTTATAAAAATAACAAACAATGTGATTATGCAAGAACAAAATTACTTCGGTATAATAAAACAAGTAGGCAAAGGCGATACTCGTGCGGGCCCGACCATATGATAGTCTACAATCCTATTACGTATTGAAAAGCCGGTTTAGGTTCAAATTCATTTTGGTACATTTCGTTTTTGAAATAATGTCATACAGTCCTGCACTATATTTACGCTCTCCGTCGTGCTGATTGGCATTTACAACAATTTCACACAAAAGTTTTAGTCCATTTTACTCGACTTCTTCCCTGTCCTATACTCTAACCTCAGGCAAAATTCCATTTCTAATGATTGTTAATTGTGACCTGTAGAGCGACGACAAAATCAGGAAATTTTTAATTTTTTGATCATCATTTTTAAAAACAATATGCTTTAATTCTTACCCTCCCCCAACACAAAGTATTGTAAGCTAAACAAGTAACAAGTAAAAAAGCAGTAAGTTCGGCCGGGCCGAACTTTGAATACCCTCCACCATTTGGAACGAATTAGAAAATTTTCAAAAAAATAAAATCCATTAATTTTGTTTTATGGATTTTATGGATTTTTTTCTTTACAATATCTAATATAAAGAGGTGCCGATATATGGGGGTATATATGATATTGTGGACCTATTAAGACAAATCTATGTCTGGGTGTAAAGTACTCACAAGGAACTCCTTGTGTGGATTTTCAGATAATTCCATTGGAAAAAGTGGCTAAAATCATCAAACTACTGAATATCGGGGGGTACCGTTATATGGGGGATATACGACATTGCGGACCTATATAGACAATACCCTTTCAGGGGGTAGAGTGCTCACAAAGAACTCCTTGTGTGGATTTTCAGACAATATTTTCATGTGGCTAAAATCATCAAAATACCAAATATCGGGTGTATCGTTATATGGGTGCTATACAATATCATTAACCTATATAAGAATTCTCTGTCGGGGGGTAAAGTGCTCACAAGAAACCCCTTGTGTACAATTTCCGTTGAAAAATGTGGCTAAAATCATCAAAATACCGAATATGGAGGGTACCGTTATATGGGGGCTATACGATATCGTAGAACTATATAGATGATTCTCTGCCGAGGTATAAAGTACCCACAAGGAACTCCTTGTGTGGATTTTCAGTCACTTCCATTGAAAAATGTGGCTTAATTCGTCAAAATACCGAATACCGGGGGTTACCGTTATATGGGGGCTATACGATATCTTGGACCTATATAGATAATTCTCTGCCGATGTATAACAAGGAACTCCTTGTGTGGATTTTCAGACAATTCCGTTGAAAAATGTGGGTAAAGTTATCAAAATACCGAATATCGGGGGTACGGTTATATGGGGGATATACGATATCGTAGACCTATATAGACAATTCTCTCTCGGGGGGAAAAGTACCCACAAGGAACTCCTTCTGTGGATTTTCAGGCAATTCCGTTGAAAAATGTGGGTAAAGTTATCAAAATACCGAATATCGGGGGTACCGTTATATGGGGGACATACGATATCGTAGACCTATATAGACAATTCTCTCTCAGGGGGTAAAGTATTCACAAGGAACTACTTGTGTGAATTTTCAGACAATTCCATTGAAAAATGTGGCTAACATCTTCAAAATACCGAATATCGGAGGGTACCGTTATATGGGGGCTATACGATATCGTGGACCGATATAGCCCATCTCCGAACTTGACCTGCCTGCAGACAAAAGAGAGATCTGTGCAAAATGTTAGCTTCTTATCTTAATTCGTTTAGACTGTAGCGTGATTAAAACTGACGTACAGACGGACGGACGGACAGACGGACGGACAGGGCTAAATCGTCTTAGAATTTTACGCTGATCAAGAATATATATACTTTGTTGGGTCAAAAATGATTTTATCGATTTTTTAATATACCCTCCATACTATGTATGGTGGAGGCTATAAAAAGCAACTAAGTTTGATACACTCCACCATTTGGAAGGAACTTGAAAATTTTCAACATATACCTATTTTGATATATATCCGATATCTTGACTATCTTTGTGCATTTGTTTGTAACATGGAGAAGGAATCGAGATAGAACCCAAGTTACTTTTAAGGATCTTCATATAATCCCTTTCTGGGTCCATTTATGCATGTCAGTCAGTCCGTCTGTTCATGTCTTTTCGTGAACAAAATGCTGGTCGCATTTATTATCCGATTGAGATGACATTTTCAAAACAATAATTGTTTGGCTTAAGGATGAACCCTATTGAAATTGGTGAGAATCATTTCAAATTTAGATATAGCTCCCATATATGTCTTCAACCGATGATTATGCACCAAATGACCAATACCAGTCCTATTGACCTGAATGATGGCATATCCGACCGAATTCAGTCTCGAAGCAAGTACATATATACGTTTCATTCGATTTGGTGTCCAACCCTCGTAATATGGACTCCCCAAGAATGATATTTTGTACCAGATATCAGATACAGCCCAGAAATACCTCTGATAGATTTGAAAAAAATTATTAAGATCGGTTCAGATTTGAATATAGCTCCCATATATATCTTTATTCGATTTAAGGTTTATTGTGCACCAAACGGCTAATGAACTGAATCTTGGCAATTCCAACTGAATTCATCCTAGAAAAAAGGACTTCAAATTCGGAGAAAATCAGTTCAGCTATAGCTATAGCTCCGGCTTCATCCGA